GGGTTTCTATGAGTTCAAGTAAAGAGTAGATTGTGCAAAATGATTATTTATGTATGTCTCTTGCCTATGGAAGCCAATTTACACCAAGAAAAGAGTTGAGTGAAAGGTTAAAGGTTCTCTATTCGGCATTCAGAGCATTAGTGTAGCAGCAAACAACTATTTGCTCTGTAAAGATATAGCGGAGGGATGTCTACCTGAGCAGACAATAAAGTCACTCTCCCTAATAAATAAAAATGCTCATGCAAGGTCCACATTTTGTCTGATTCAAAATGACCCAGATGTTGTCTTACCACGAGTACTTAGTATATTCTTACGATGACTAACTTGGAAACTTGGACAATTTTTCTTCCCTTTCCAGGCAGAATTGGACTTCCGCACAACCAGTTACTCTGTAACTTGCTGACCTCCAGTTCAACCAGTCTGCTTCGCTACACCTCCTTGAGCAAACCCGGAGGACGGTTCTATTAACATTCACATCGTGTTACTCCGAACACGGGACCACCCAAAGTGCCTAATCCGGGGTACACAGCAGACATGTCGTCTGAACAACGTCAAAGCAGGTTTTGCTTTCTTGGCCTTGGCTCTCTTCCTGCGAGCATCCCCTCACACAGACAGGCCAGGCTTCCTCCACAGTTAATTACGGCCACAGCTTGCATGGAGGCATATCATTAGCAGTAATTGCACACGGCATCCCATTGCCATGTGCCTCCCTTTTTTTTTTTTTCCTGTCCCAGATTTACGCTGCACTGATCCATGAAGGAGCAGTGCACCCCTCCGCATGCTCAGAATGGTAACGTGGTTGATGGAGGGGAAGGAGCGACGCAATTCCGGGCCTTCTGTGCGCGAGCATGTGCTCAAATCTACCTATACAAGTCTGGGACTGGGGTTCCAGAGAGGGATGGGTAAAGAAAACAAAAGAAAAATTGTGTATGGACAGTCGGCTGCAGGAAATACAGGGATTACCGAGAGGCAGAGCGTGTTTGTTGTGTAAGCACGTGAAAAAGGTGTACGTGTTTTCGTATCAACAGTGGGGACCGGGTGTGGAACTGGTCGGTACACGTTGAACCATAAACTGTACGTTTTCAAATCCAAATGCAATTAGCCTGTTTCATGTCTGCAGCCTGTGCAGATGGCAGAGAGATCAGCTTGTAAAAGGGCTGCTGCAGTACGCCATCACACACTACCTGTATGGAGAAAGGGCTCCTGGGCTTACGCAACATCTAGCGGGTCGAGTACCACGGAGGGTTCTCTATGGCGGCCCAGGGGGCTCCATGCACCTATAAAAAATATATATATATACACCGCGAAAAAATAAAATAGGAGCAAATTTAGAAACACAAGCTTGTGTTAGCAACATTGCAACATTGTTTATGAATAAAAGGTCTTAGAATCGCAGATAGTGTTAGGATATGAACGCCAACATGCCGATTGTGATTAAATCTGAGCAGACATTTTCTCCCTTCATGGTCGAGGGGAAGCCGTCGTTGGCTCCACCTCAGTAAGAGCTGTCCCCCAGCATGATAAATCTCCCTCCGCTGCGGTCACTATTGGCCTGCATGCTCGGTTCAGAAAAATGCAGTGTGCCTATCCCCACCCCCCCCCGAACCCAACCACCGGGCCTCACCTGCCTGCTCAGTGTGGTGGATCGACGCGCAGTAACGGCCAAAGAGCCAAACACGGACTCGAATGGCGAGGACTTGCCTGCAGTAGAAATAAAATCAACACAGCTGTAATAAACACAGAGACAGATGGGTTTATCTGAAGTGTAAATCAGGGTTCTGTTTGGACTGGGAAGACACTGACCTTTTATACCTGAACACCAGACAGTCGTGTTGCATATGATAATCTGAATGCTGTCTCAGGCCGTCATTGATCACCAACAATCCTATCAACGGTTTGGAGTTCGACAATATTGAAATCATATTTACTCAAAGCATAGAGTCACTGTTTTTGTTTTTAAAGCACACTGTATTAAAATGGTGTTTCATATTATTCATAACTGTCCACAGTACAGCCTCACTGATAGCTTCACATTAGCTCATTCTGAGCTTGAGCAGCTCCTCGCTAAAAACACGGGCAGCATGTATGAAATTTGGTAGGCAGGTGTAACATGTGGAGAAAAAAGCCTCTTGGAGGTATACCGTAAACCCAACAGGAAGTCAGCCATTTTGAATTGAATTTGCTGTTTTAGGGCTTTTATTTTTGGCATTTTCCAGGCACTGCACTTTAACAAACTCCTCCTAGAGATTTCACCTGATCGACATCAAATATGGTCGGTACAATCCTAAGACCTTTGCGATGCTGAATTGCAAAGCTTTTGCAGTTTTTGGTGGAACTATTTATGCTGTGGTAGCAAAAAAAAAAAGAAGCTTTTTCTCCATGAAGCAGGAAGTTGCTGTCCGGGGCCAGCTGCCCGCCTGAGGCAAGTCTGTCAATGTGCTAGTATTGAACTCTTCACACTAGTAGCTATTTTAGTAGCACTGGCCTTTAACACCCAAACTGGTCTATTTCTAGTATTTGTGTAATTTCACACACATTTTTTTTTGTTCTCTTCCTGTTGAATCAACGCATTTGCTTTGGGGCAGCTTTGGTCTGAAGGGGAAACAGAGTGCAGTTATGAAATGTCTGACAGTAGACACACAGTCAAGTCAGTGGTGTGAAATGAGAGCAGGCGAGGGGGCGGGGAGACCTACAGCTGAGCCTCTAAGGCAAAATGATCTGATCCGGAGATGGCCACGGGAGGGTCACCTCACCTTGACCGGCCTGTCCACTGAGCCGCACACTAGTTATGCAACAGGCACACTTAACCGCTCCCATTTAGACAGATAGATATTATAGGAAAGAGGGGGAGAGAAAGAAGGGACGACATGTCGATCTGAATGTGATTCAAGCCTCTATGCATTCCTAGGGTTTAAATTGCTTTTACATAGTTCCCTACATCAGATAAAAACAGGAAGGACCAGAAGAAGTGGCACCATTCTTAGCAGTACGTATTCCCAAAGTCCCAATTTGTTAAACTGAACCTGAGCATATGTAACAGAACGAGAGTGATCATGTGACCAAAGAGAAATCCGAGGACCAGTGGTTGAGTTGCAACCCGAAACATATCCAGGGACCACGACTGCGCATCGCTTGAGGCTAGAAAGGATTAAAGCAATAGTTCAACATTTATGGAGATATTTCCTTTGTTGCAGAGTCTTCGATGAGATGATCGATACCACTCTCACACCTGTCCGGTAAGACAGTGGTATCGATCTTCTCATCTAACCAAGAGTCGTTAATGAGGGTCCTAGGATGTTACTAGATAAAAGCAATACATTCCTCAATTGCCTTTTAAATACATATCTGGTGGTGACATGAAAAATCAGTTCATTCCATATTTGACCGTATTAAAGGACCCTTCCATCTATTTTGTATATTACTTCCTGGAAAGTTGGGCGATTTGTGAGAGACAGATTTATTAAAGAATCGTCAACAGTGAAGCAACAGAGGCCGAGAAATCTGGACTTTTAGTGCCGAGTATGGGGCAAAATCCCCAAACACTGGATCCTACATTTCCCATAATGCAACTGGAATCTTTCATTAGACCACTCCTAGGTTTATTCTCACTTCTTTAAAACTCTACACCGAAAGTTCAGTAAAACAAATTGTAAGGCACAAGTTCATATCTAAATAACCCCGATGACATCATCGGGGGAATTGTTTCTTATATTGGAACGCCCCCCTCCAGAATCAAAGAAGAGATTATACAACCGTTTTAACATGAGTAACCTGGTGAAATGCAACAATGAGATCTTCAGCAATTCAATCATTAAAAGCACCAATCTAGATATGGGCACTACCGACCCGAGCTACCACAGTCAACCGTTCACCAAATCTTCTGATCGGCCATGACAAAAAGGGAGCCATCCACAACAGCGCAGGTATTGCTTTATATTTTATTTTATGTACAGTACATGTAAAAAAAGAAAACAAGAAAAAAAAAAGTAGGCAATAACATTGACCAACGTGGGCAACAGTAGACAGCCATGTTGCTCATACACCGGGGAAATCCTGACGGCCGTTTCCCCGCTCAGGCATACATACACAGAGGCTCTCCTACTCCTCGGTGCGTAAAGGCTGCCTGGAAACTAGCCGGGCTCGACAGCAAACAGTCGGAAACCGCAGATTATCGAAACGGGAGGAGTGCGTTACCTGCCTGCCCCCCCCCTGACAAACACTTCTCTCATTGACAACCAACGGGCTAGTTTCCAGCCTCGATGGGAACAAAGTGCTCCCAGACAGGCGGAAGGGAGACGGGCTGATCGGCCGAGCGTAAATGCGCGTGATCGTCGGTACGTTTTGTTTTTTAATAGACACCGGGCTGTGCTCAACGCCCGCCCACCCCCCCTCTCTCCCCTCCAAATCCAACAGTGCTGCTTTCGACACAAAAGGTCACTAAAGGTCAGTCTGCTTTTGCCAGATGACTCAATAACTGCAGCCTCCGACCAGTAGCAAGCTTTTCTTCAGCAACACTCAGCAAGTTGAATTCACAGTATTCTTACAGCATGTTATTTTTTTTCTCCCAACGTCACTCATAAAGCTTTAACTGATAATGCATAGGGGGCACATTTGTTCATCCATGTTTCTCCAGTGGAAATGTTCAACGTGGATTTTTGTAGTGTGTGTGTGGCAGATAAACTGAGAGAGTAACGCACCCCTAGTCGAATGCGAGAATACAGTGTACACAACCATCCGTGTCTGGTGTCCTCAAATTCATACAATAAAATAAAATGAGAAAAAATAAAAATAAAAAAATTTCCTTTTTTTTGTATCTCCAAGGCCATGGATAGTCGACCACAAAGACTTCTGAGCTCCCCTGCTGCCTATCGAGGCCGTAATCTCGCAATATTGTCTAAGACAGTGAGCTTACAGCAGGCCACAAAAGGTACAGATAAAGTGCTTTTTTTTTTCTTCTTAAACGTGAAGCTTTAAATAATTAAAGTGAAAAAAGAAGAAAAATGGTTCCCAGGAATAAAAAATGAAGAGATGGAGAGGGGAAGTTTGCGGATGTGAAGTCAAAAAATGAAAATGGAAGAGAGACGCAACATGATTGTGGAGAGGAATAGAGTTCAGTATAAATACATCCACAGATCCAACTAATGTCGCCGAAGGCTACGAGGATGGAACGCTGATCGCTAAGGGGAGCTGGAACAGTCACTACTGTCTCTGGATGGAGCCATTCACATTCTCAGAAGTAAGAGGATTCGGGGGTAAGACTTTTTAAACCGCGGTGAAACGGCTCATATCCAAGTGTGAGAAGGGGGGGGGGGGTCCTTTGAAGATGCCACCTGCTTCCTCTGGCCGGACGAGGGCCTGGTCTTCGCACCAGCGGCGAGGACCGGGGTGATGACAGCAGCAGACTGGGAGGGTTTGCGAGGGTGGATCATAATAAAACGTTACAGATAATAAATACATTTTGGGTCCTTGTAGTGTCGTTATTCGGCTCTATTGAAATATGATTAAATCTAGAAAAACAACAAAAAAAAAAAGGAATAGTTCAGTTCATAGTAGACCATGAGATGCCTGGCCGTTTTTTCTTCTTCTATTTTGCTCCCTTATCCAGTCTTAACAACACTCCACCTTGGCGGCCATTTTTCAACCAGCATTGTGAAAAAAAAAAAGAAAAAAAAAAAAATAGTAGCCGTGGCAACCGCACGTACTCCCTCCTGGGTCTTGATGATACAGTCTGAGAATTCAGGGGGAAAAAAAACAGAAACCTTGGAGACCTCTCTTCAGTCCTCAGCCTCTACACAAGAGAAAGATAGAGAGGAAAAAGTAAATGAGACAATGAGCAAACAAGGCAGGTCATACATCATGCAGGGGAACTCTTAACACCGTATACAAGGCCCAGCACCGGGAGAGATGGGTCGTTTTTAACGTGTCACGTGAAGTCATCCGGTGCAGAACCGTCGAAAGGTTTCGGAGCGCTCTGAAGTGAACGTCAGCTGTTTTCCAGCTCGCTGAAACCTCCGTGCGGCTGACGGAGCAAAGAAAAACACACTTCCTTTATGAGCTCTGGAAAAAAAAAGCGCCAAATAAAGGCTCGTCTGAACCCCTCACTGTGTATATTCTCAACTCCTCTTGGCTCCTGAGCTCATAACAGAGTAAACACAAGGGTTGAGAGCAGCCCGTCTGTCTCTCATATCACTCAAAAGGCAATATTGTGTTGAGGACCTGCTGCTTGGCTACACGGGGAAAAAATGCACTAGGAAACCAGGGGGACAAGCTCAGCAAAGCCACAGTGTGCCGTTGAGACATAACGGAAAGCCTATTTTTATGCACTTGCAGTGCCCAATACCTTTGAATTACTTTCATCGGGCTAAAGCGGTGCTGTCTATTTACAAGCTACTCCAGCTGACAGTAAGCAGCACAGCCTGTGCCCGCGTTACAGCTGGAAAGAGTAACTAAGACACGCCGGGCCGCATTAGTCACAGCACAAGCCTCGTCTCTCTTCTCTGTGGACTTGAAATTAAGTTGTTAAATTTGACTCATGTGGCGGCTGGGCAATTGGCTAGCTAGCTTCCTAATTCCACCATGCTTTCATGACCTCATTCTCGGCTCAGGTAGACTTTACTCCACTATATCTTTACGCAACAATAGACTTTACAGTTTTCAAATTACTGTTCATGAAAGCTATTGCCCTTTCAATTAGCTTATGCTAATCGTTAGCTATAATCACTGATGCTAATCATGAGCGCTGATGGGCAGCCTCACTCCTCACCACTACTTTGATGGGAGGACAGCAGACGGGAGCTCCGGAGAGTAGCTAGCAAGCTAGCGAGCGAGCTCTGGCAACGCACGAGCTAACAAGCTAAACTAGCCGGCCGTCCTCTCCGGAGCTCCCGTCTGCTCTCCTCCCGTCAAAGCAGTCTGCTAGCAGCCTAGGAATCGGCTAATATGGTCCTGTTGGTTAAAGTTAACTTTCTCAAGTAACACCTGCGACTCCGGAGAGTGAGAGACTGTACATAATGAGAGAAAGTATTATTTTCTTCGGTCGTTATAAAATTTAAAAAAGCCAACAAAACTTGCTAGCCAGCATTAACACGCTCACAGACTTATTCTGCCTCCACTACGGCGCTCCGTCCACAAAAATACATTACCATGTTTACTAACAGAAAAGGAGTCTAAAGCACACAACACAATATGTAGAATTCAAACACTTTGAAAATGTTTGGGCTTGATTGCATCAATGACGCTACGAAATACTCATTGGCTTTCAGCTGGGTTTGGTTCCTCTTTGTTGGTTTTGCTGCTTTGAACACAGTAACTCCTTCATGACATAAATGTAGCTGGAGTCCTCTGGCCTGGCACTAAATATTTGTTTAAATAAACAGGTTGGTGCAGAATCATGTTCACTGTGCTCCCCCTCCCCCCCTCCCCCAAAGTTTAGCATGAACATCATTAGCTATTCAAATGAATAAATAATAAAAGGATAGGGCTGAGCAATCTGAAATGTATTCACAATTCAAAGCCGTGACAATGACACCTTCACAAACACACGTGTGCACCTCCGTCCTTGCAGTGAACATCTTGCTAATTCTTGCGCTGAAGATTGGGACTCTCTGCGTCTACCAAAGTGAGGTGCATTTTGAATAGATGAGTTTAACACCTTCATGGTGTCTCATTCAATCTGCAGGATATTTTAGGGCATGGAATAACATTAGCATACCAGGGCTCTACGGTGTGAACATTTCCAGAATATGCAACTCTGATTTCTGACACCTGAGCTGGCAAAATACAGATGTGTGAACCTCAGATGTGAAATCTGTTTTTAGCCGGCGTGTTCCTTTTTTACAATAATGTCAGCTGGTCATATCAGTTGTTGCTTATTCATGTTAATTCTGGCAGGAACTTAATAGAACAACATTAAACTTGTCTATAGTCTGGTTAGAGGGCTCTCTGCAGGCTAGTGATGTTACTCAGCCAAATAAAGATAAATAAAAATGTCCTATTCTCTGCTGCAATACATTTATTTGTATTATTCATACTGATGTTTTTGGGGGATAAATGAATTAGACTGCCACTTAAAAACTCTTTCTGGCTTCTCAGCCTTGACATTTCCACTAACTAAGTCCTGAGACTTTAAGTTACTTTCAAAATTTGAAAAGAAAAGAAAAGACTCAGTAAGAGATTTGAAGGAGAGTCTGACTCAAAAGGCGGATTTGAAATGGAGTTCAAATTGGATAACTGCAAAGCCTAAAAATAATTAGCAGTTTGTCCTTTATGTGGTTTAAAGTACAGCTGAAGTTTCATAACTCTTTAGTTATCTCTTAGTTAAGTCAGTTTGCCATGTTGCTTAATGATTAAAAAGAGATATGCGATATAGAAAGCCAATGCTAATGTTATCGACATAATACATTGTACTTCCTGTTTGTCCTACATTTAGGTAGTGTTCTTTGAGTTAGCCTGGACATTGTTGTTGATGTATTTTCAGGTGCGGTGAAGGGGTCGGCTACAGCCTGTCTAAGCTAATGAATCAAACATATCAACATCACTTAAATTAGGCAGGTGAGAGATCACTACTGTTGGTTTTGGTCACTTTCCTATTCATTACCCAGCCCTATTTTAGGTCTTGGAAAGCAAAGGGACACATTTATCCAAAACAGATGTGATGTGATACAACCACATGTAACATCTAACTGCTGTGAACTGACCTACGTGTCACCGTGGGATAGCAGCGACGTAATCTCTGGGCCCATGTGGCCCACGGCCTTGGCCGCCTCCAGGATGGCTCTCCGGTACATCCCTTTCTTCTTGCGGTTGAAGCGGGACCTGAAGAGCTCCCTGAAGGGCGACAGTTTGGCAACGGAGAGCTGGGAGGTGGTGGGTGAGCCGAACCACGCCACCTTCGCCTGGGGCCACTGGGCCTCGCAGCTGGCCGTCTCCTGCTTACGGGTGCCGCTGATGCTGAGGACGCTTGCTGGCCACCAGGGGAAGCCGTGGATCTTCCCCCACACAATGTCGCCTACCGCCACGGCGTGACCCTCTTCTGTCACACACTTCGTCATGCTGCGGGTGTGAAGCCGCACCGTAAGCGGCGGCACCGTCTTGCAGTCTTCCCGTGCCGGTACAGAAGATGAGGTCACGGACAGGTCTTCGCCTGGGGCCAGGTCGCACAGCTCCGGCGAGGTTCCGTCAGAGCTGAAGGACTTGGACTCGTCTAGGCTGTCACTGCTGCAGACCGACAGGCTAGACGAATCCGCTTTGCGCTTACGGAAATTGATGAGGAGGGTGAGGTCGCTGTGGCCGCGCTCCGCCTCCTCTCCCGAACTCCCCGACCACAACTCCAGAGAGTTTTTACCTTCCCCTGAGTCTTCAGAGTGGGGGAGGCACGGACCGGGCACCCTGGGGCTCTGTCTCCTGGTGCCTCCTACAAGTTCTGCCTCGTACTCGACCCCGCTCTCCTCACCCTCCCTCTGAGGGGGTCTCAAGTGGATCTTTGGAGAGGGCAAGTCCTGACCCACGGTTGTAAAAGGCCTGGTTAGTTTGAGTTTGGGAATGGACACGGTGAGGCCGGACCTTGTGGCATCTAAAATGTGCCGTTGCTCCTTGGTGGGATCGGAAGGCGTCTTGCCGTTTTCTCCCATTCCATTCTGCACCAGTTGTTTGGGGCAGAATGGCTTGACTGAACCGTGGACTCTCGCGGGGATCTTCATGACCTCCCCCTTCCCCTGTGGAGTGCTGTAAGAGATCTTTATGACAGGACTGTGGGGGATGACGTCACCTCCAGAGAACTTCTCCACTTCAGCGTCCCCCCTTTTGTCCTTCCTGAGTCGCTTGCTGTCAAGGCTGTTGCCATTTTCTCGTCTCTTAGCGTCCTTGGCTGCGGCTACGTCCTCTTTTCTCGCTTGGAGGGGGGCATCCTTGTCCTCGCCATCTTCATCGCTCTGTAGTGCATTCTCTTTTCTAGAGGTCTTAGAAGTGTTGCTCATGCCATCTTTGCTATCCTCGTCACTGTTCAGTGTGTTCTTGCACTTTTCACACAGTACCTGCCGCGGCCGCAGGCGGATAGTACTCATGGTCATGCGGCCGGGCTCTCGCGTCCGCCTCTTCTTCCTCTTGATTGGTCGCGGTGGGGGCTGAGGTACCCATTGGCTGTAGCTATGGCGCACCCATAAGGGCGGAGGGAACGGGGCTCCTTCAAAATAAGGAGGGTAAGGAGTCTCTCCAGCCGGCACTGGTGTGGGTAGAAGGCAGGGAAGAGGCGCAGCAGGTGTGCCGCTTTCTGGGATAGTGTTTTCATCCTTTGGTCTGTGTGAAGCCTGGCTGGGAGATTTGGAAACCGGCTCCTCACTCAGAACTTCTGGGACTTCTTGACAAACCGGTGTAGATATCGGGAAGTCCCCGGGTTTTGCTGTGAATTCTGGTAGACAGAATAGCCCAGTCCTAAAATGAAGAGGGAGAAAAAAAAAAAGCAACGATAAATGAATAACTGCATGTCTCATTGAGCTCCATTACATTGCTTCAGTGAAGTTGGTGCAAGCCAACGCAAACATTCTCGTTACACATGACAAACATTTCTCGAATTTTTGAGTTAAGCAATCTCCTCCACAAGAGAGATACTGTGATGCCGTGCTTGCATTTCACTGTGTCAGATAATCTAAGGCCAGTGGCACAGCAGCACAAATCAAATACCTTGCTGTTTCAATTAAGCCAGAAAGAAGAAAATAGAGAGCACCCAGATCTGTTCAAAGACTTCCCTACAAGTGAAAACCTATTTTACCATTTTGATTTGCTTCAGCTGGATACACTGGCACCACTCTCCCTGTCACCTGTATGCTGAAAATTCTTTATGTGTGGGGGTTTGGGTCCGCAAGCAGCCAGGCGATTATCTGTCCTGCTGTCTGTAGGCAGCAGAAATGTAGCAATATTATCACTGACTCCCTTTGAGTGATTTTATGCTTCTTTTTTTTTTTTTCATTCTCTGGGCCCAGCAAACATGTCCAAAGAAGGCCCAACTGCCAAGGAGTCTTTGAGAGGTGGCTGGCAGGCAACAGTAACATGGCTGTGCTGTTTTAGTCAGGAGACAGCAGACAAAGAGACTACAGGATGCCCAGGAACAACCCCCCCTCCCCAACATCTGACTGAACAAAAACAATCCCATGAATCACTCGGGATTCAGAGATGTAGGGGAAGGAGCCAGGAGATTTCAGTTTGTTTTTGCATCCGTGTCTATTCGGGGCCAGATTATTAATTAGCGCACATTTGGGGAGCCTGTGTCCCTCCCCAGGAGGAGGACTTGGCAGGCACCTCCGAATTATAGTCTCTCAGCGCGGCTTGTTCCTCTCACCTTTTCCTATGCTGCCCCCCCCCCCCCAAACCAGCCGAACATTGGCCTTCACAGTGATTGACGCGGCACGGAGCAGGGCTGCCTGTGACAGGGAACAGGCCATGCTAGTGAAGCACAGTACAAGGACGCAGCATATGACCAGCCATGATTCACCGCGCTGTTGCCATCTCACGTTGTGTACAGTGTAACTAGACGCAGAGATCTGCCTGAATGATAGGCCCTAGACCATGACATTAAAAAGAATTAACCTGTGGGAGACAATGACAGGAAATGTGTTGCCATGAGCTGAAAAGGAAGAAGAAGTCAAAATTTTGTCAGTGACAAGGCCTGAAATATAAGCCTATTTTAAGTTACTCCAAGGCCTGCCTTTTCCCATTTGGGTGGGTTATTTTCAGGACTGCTTGAGCTCTCGCATGAAAAACCATCTAAGCATACTAAGGGGCAAAGCTGGTCCGATTCTGATTGTCTATAAATAGTCCAAAGCCAGTGGCTTTTAAGGTGCACAGCACCAGGAGCAACACCAGGCTTATATACATGTGACACACACACCAACAGAGACATAAGCCATGACACTGATTCATGTCATTTTCTTTACTCTTAAGGTTTTCTCATTTAAACAACATACTGTTTTCTTGTTAACTGGCAAGATTTGGGCCTTTTGTTTCATTGTCAAGCACAGGGTCTAATGTTGTCACTGAAGCTCATCAGAACCAGGTTTAAAGAAAAAGGCATTACAGTTGAGATCGATCAAATCCCACATGTGTCTTTATTGCCATTTTCCATCGTTTCTGCAGATCAGAAGTGACTGGCTGTGTGAGGGGCCATTTGTCACATCAGCAACTGTGTTTCAGATTGAAACATCACTCGAGAAAACTAGTACACAATGCAGTGGCATCTGTGTGTATAAACGCATGAAAACATGATTTACAGAGGGGTGTTCAGCCACGGCTTTTACTCAATACGTTTTAGCTGCTCTGTATTTGATGAGGCTAACAATAAGCTACATGTGAACCCAGTGACATTAGTTATTGTTCAAGAGAAGTAATTTACAAACTCAGTACACAGGGGCACTATGTTGGCATTCCGTATGTCACCGTAGTAAAATAACGCATTTGACCATCTCAATATGAGCTAAAATCAAGTCAGTTAGCCATTAGCCGATTAGCTAGCAGATAGCTGGCCTGTCAGCTACAATAACCTACGAGTCTTTTGTATGGAGGCCCAGTTAGCTAGCAGCTAAACAGCTAGCCCACACTCGTTAGCATCAAAGGTACATTAGCCGTTACCTGAGTTTAGCAAATGAATATCAAAGATAAATGTAGACGGAGAATATAAGAAATAACACTCACTTTTTGTTGCAATCAAGTAGTATCCCCGTATAGCTCCTTTCTCGGTAGGTCAGCGTCACCACCAGTGTATCGTTAACTATTTGATCGATAGTGACAGGCACCCGAGAGCCGGCCCGCAGCTCCTCGGCCACAGCCTCCATGTTTCCCGGCGTCAAGTGTCCGGCTCGGCGGTGCTCGATCCCGGCCAAGGGAGCCACGGTCGCTTCGGCTAAAGATCCGTCTCCCCTTCGATATTGGAGCAGGAGGCTACACCAGGGCATAAAATGACGCCATCACCCCCACCAAGTCAATTACAACAGCACTAACCACCGCTGACATCACGCTCCCTGTGCTGGAGGAGCAGAAATCTCTCAAGACAAGGCCTACCCTCTCCGTCTCACTTTGACTTGTTTGATGCCATTCACAAGTGCGGGGATGCCTCCGTTTTCCATAGCGGGAGGCTAATGGCGTTTTGCTCCAAACTTATACCGCCAATATACTGGGAATGTTATAACATATGGATGCATTTCGTAGTATGTTGTAAGCGTCGTGGAATTGGACAAATTAGAGATAGATATGACCTTTTAAATATTCGTCATAACACACAATGCACAGCAAAGACTTTCACGACAGCATTAAAGGTGCTATTTGCTAAAATGCCCTGTAGGTCCTTCATTTGGATTCATTTCAAATGTTCCCTGCTGCAAATACCCACTATTAATGTCAGCCGTATTATTTATGTCTAAAAAGCCTAAAAGGGTGGGTAGGTTCAAATGTGACAATAAATGATTGCTCAGGTTTATCTTTTTATCCATTTATTTATTTATACCATGTTTTAATTTGTTCCCCTTATATTTCAGGCCTTGTTTAATTAGCATTGTGTGGTGGTATTTCAGATAATTGACAGTGGGAATATGAGGCTTATGCAATGACGTCTTGTGAGTCATTTAACAACTGAATTAATTTCACACCATGAAGAAGTAACAGTATCATACTTACTGTGTACATATTTGAGGTACTGAATGATAATGAGCTAATGTAAATAAGAAATATGTGTAGTTTGTGTAATGGAGAGGGTGTCATGCAAAAGAAAATGTCAAAACACTCACTTGGGCAGTAACAGCATGCGATCTTTATTTGTATTTTAATGATATGAGCATTGCAATGGTCATTCACAAAGGTATTAGTCTTTGCATTTCATTTTGAGTCTCAATCTATTACCTCACAACTCAAACAGACACTACAATCCTCGCTACTTGTCACTGAAACTGGGCCAGGTGTCTCCAGTGGAGATAAAACACTTTCCAAGATTCCCTTTTCTCTCCAGGAGCCAAGCCTGCAGCTTCCTCATCTGTGGGTAGGGAAACAAAAAAACAAACAAATCAGATCAATAACCTCAATATAGATGAGTTGTGTGTATAATGAAGCCATGGGTCTGACCTCCTCCATGTCTCTCTCCGCCGCCGCCATCTGCTCGGTGGCGGTGCCCCTGGGATTCCTGCGTCTCTCCTGCATCTCGTCGACGTGAGCACGGATCCGCCTCTCCAGCTCGCGGGCTGATCTGGAAAGGGCCAGGGTCAAAGGTCATAATATCATATGGAAATACTGAATATTTAGTTGCCCAAGTATGGCTGGTGGTATCATAGCCTTTATGTCTGGTAGCTGATTAAATATGCAAGACTCTGAAATGACCGTTTTCTTCTTATTTCAGATTCATCCTATCAGTGAAAACAGACAAGTCTGAGGCGTACTATCTAATCGGGTTTGTCTGTGTTTTTGGGGCATAACACTGCTCATGGAGAACAAAAGAAACTGCTGATGTTCCATGGTGGGGTGTACAGTCTCTCTTTGTCCACTAGGTGCCTCTAGCTTTCCACCTTCATCTGCATAGCTCACTATGGGAGACAATGCCAAATGCCAAGCGGTGGATACTTAGAGACCTGTTGTCCCAGGATGCTCTGTATCACTTTTCTACAGTGGCGGGCCGTGCATTTTATACCTGGACCTTCAGTGCTGTCCTTCTACAGTTGAACCACCTCCTAATAACTTCATTATGAGGCCACAGCTACGGTTATTTGTTTCTCGGGGTGTAACACTACACGTATTCGCATTAAACCGTTCGGTACGAGGCTTATGAACCGAACAATACGTTTGAATAATACTAGTGCATTTGGAAAATGCAGAAGCTTAAATTGTGGGAAATAAAATGTTTTCGGTGGACTTCGCTCAACATGGCAACCCACCACGTAAGAGACTGACCCCGGAAACAAAACATTGTACCCTGGTGTGGCGCGTGTGTTCTGGGAGGCTACGCTAAACTAGCTTAGCAGGAAAACCAACAGCAGCACACATGCTACAAACTCTCCCCGCAGCGTTTAGCTGTTCCCTACTGATTCAGACAGGGCTAAAGCAATCGCCACACAATCCCCATTTCTCCAGAGCATAATTCTTGCTTTGTTAAAGAAAACAAAAGCCCAAACAGAGAATCAAATGTCCGACCCTAACCCCGCGCATGACGGGATGATTCGTCATAAACGGAAAATGCATATAGTCAAAATCAATGTAATTAACACAATGACAAGAACAAACTCACAAGAACCAGTCACATATATAATATGACAACAAAGCATGCTTCTCCGACGCGCTCAGCCAGGAATACCGTTCTTACAAATCCTTTTCCTGGCTGGGTCAGGGCTGCTAGCTGTGGGGTTGGCCGACCCTTTCTTACGATGTCCAGTTTTTCTGGAAATATCCTTCTTGAGAAATCCGTTTCTCCTCCTTCAGCCATTGAGTGTTAAAACAACAAAGCTAGGTAAAAAAAGAAAAGAATCTACACCAAGCAAAATGCTAAAAATGTCATGTCAATGTCATAACTTCTTACATATCTTTCAACTTGAACTCTTACTGCTACTACTAACTTCTGCTAGCTGCTTCAGCGTCACAACAGGCCGCTAGCCTACTGACCGATCACGCCGCACGTTAATGCTGACGTACTTTAGACTACCTCGGTAGCTCTGGCACGTCAAAGAATACGCCCAACATGTCATACTAAAGATCTGATTGGTTGAAGACTATGGCAATCAACAATATCGTCCCCATTCACTTAAACTGCAAAGTCTACCTAGAGGGCCTCAGGCCTCTCTCCTTACATAGAGAAATAGGGGCTGAATCTGATTGGATAAAAGCTCTCCTTAAAACAAGCTGCACTGGAAGCAGAGCAACAGAGGAAGACAGTAGCTGTGCAATGAGAAAATAAGCTAATGGGAAAATAATTAGAATACATGTAGTGTATTTATGAAAAATGATTAAATGATAAAATAGCTATAACTGTGTGATTCTGTTTAGGCCAGCAGAGAAGGCTTAGCTGGCCCTGACAGCCCACCACTGCTTTTCTATAAACCAGATGTCCAACATATCACGGATGAAAGTAGTCAGACATTGGTAGAAACAATATTGTGCCTTATCAATTTCCCTTTTGAAATATAACAAACAAACAGAAGCATTCCTGGCCAAAGCAGCAGGTCTGCTTCTTGCACTGGCTCAGGTTTCAGGTCTGTTTGTGTTACATCTGTCTGGAGTTAGATAGTGTTTTTGGTCGCCAATTTACCTGATCTCCTCACACGAGGCGGACGCCTGACCCACACCAGGTTTTGAATCTGTTTCTGTTTCCTGTAACAGAGGAAGAGGTGGTGTTCATCATCATGTATTTTGTTCTAGAGAGCAGCCTTGTCGGGTCAAATTACTCAAATGGGGTTGTTTTTTTATACCATATTTTATCTAGGGAATATTTACACTGGCGTAACTGGTTACGCCAGTGTAAACATTTTATTCAACGCTTCCGAGCTGCATGCGCGGAAATGCAGCTGATGATCAAATGACTCAAAACCATCTGTCTGCATCATCTGCAGTTCATGCACGTGTCAAGCTTTGAGGGCTATATGTTGCTGCACCGACGCGGCGCTCTTCATCGCAAGCACTGCCATCTGTTTCTGCCTCCGACAGCGCCACCCTCAAGGATCACTGACACCGACTCTGGAAGCCCTGCTACTTGAAAACCTCATTTACCAGCATCTAAATGTCATGTACCATTATCATCGTTAGAGTGCTCCGCTCGGTGTGACTAGAGGTGGCGCTCTACTGCCCCCTTGTGGTTGGCAGGTTGACAGGTGGACATGTAGGTGGTTTTATTCGTTCCACAAATACCTCTTGGTTTCTTTGTTCTGCATGCTTCTTCTTCCCCTTCGTGATCTTGGCCTCGGTACGCCACTTCTGAAGAGCCTCTTGGCTCCTATGGGACAGCCGGATAACAATGCACTGTAATAGATCCGTGTCAAGGGAAAAAAAAGGTCCCTCGGCTATTGTTTAGAAATGGTTGATCATTGATTATTCTTTCTTTACATTGTGAACATAGGGTGGTTCTCAAAGTCAAGGATGCCTCCTTGGTAGGACGCATACTTCCAAATCCTACAGAGGCCAGGCTAGACTGAGATGGACATGTTTTTTTTCTTTTAACTTTGGCAAACTTTTAAATTGCGGCCACGTGAGTGAAGATTCAGCAACTGGATTGGCAATTTCTCGCTTCGAATCTGTTCGGAAACAGATTTTGGTGGACTGCTGCGGGGAAATAACTTCATAATGTTGATAAGCACCCCCCCCCCCCCCCCCCCGTTTTCAAATCGATGGACAGGAAATGTATCCTGTGCAATAGGACTGTAGGTGTTTTAGGAGCGCGGAGCACACACACATGTATGCATCCTTGAAAATCCTCTGAACGAGGGACTCAGTCCTCGGGAGGAGAATTGGAAGGATCCTCGACATTCCTCCGGTTTGATCCGATGAGGAAAAAGTCAGCCGTTGAAGGATCCTTCCTCGACTTTGAGAAAACACCTTTATTCTGGATTCCCTACTGGGCAAAATGCCAATTAGACACAACAAAGCCCGGCTTTATGAAACCTTGTCTAATCTTTGGTTTTACCTGGCCTCAGTATTCTGTGATCAAATGTAATTAAATAGTCAAAATGTAGTGCTGTGGGACAGTAGAGAGGGCGTGTTATCATATTGAACTCAAGATTCTTATAATAGAACTGAACTTACTTTCTTCTCTGCTCGAGAATAGCCTGTTTCTCCGTCAGCTCCTTCATTGCAGCCTGTCTCCTTTCCTCTGGCCTCTTCCACTGCCGAGTGTCAAACAGGGGGAGCTGGGGAATCATGCCGGCCTTGGTGGTTGCCTTTTTTCTGACGGATAAATTGAACCAAAATGCTTTATTTTTGAGCTCCGAGGCCCCGGCAGAGACAGCCCGGGAGTTTGTTTTCTAATCACTTGTTCTCCTCTGCAGAGAATGCCATTAAAAAGAGTTTTGCTCTCTTTTTCCGAGGCCACACGCTGCTCCGAATCTCGGCAAAAAAGTTTATCTACTGAAACCAAACCAATCCATCCCCTCTGTCCTGCTATCAGGTAGAACAATAACACTTTCAAATCTCGTTGCTGAACAGGTGCAACACATTTTATGCCCGACAGATATTTGCTGTAAACATCGGCAGGAGCAATTAAACAAGTAGTTGTTTTGTTCTCTGTGAGATGTTTTTTACTGGGTATTCTTCTTTCATTTTTGTAAAGAAATGGTTTGACATTTTGGGAAATATGCTAATTTGCTTTCTCGCAGAGAGACGAGATACCACTCTCAGATGTGTCTGTTTAAAATATGAAGCTAAAGCCAGCGGCCGGCTAACTTAGCTTAGCATAAAGACCAGAAACAGCTAGCCTGGCGATGTCCAAAGGTATCACCTCTGGAGCTCACTTATTACCATGTTATATCTCATTTTTTCAATCTGTTTAAAAACCAAAGTGTAGAATTTATATGTGACTGTTTCTTGGCTACACTCCAGTTAGTAGCGGGTCCCAGACAAGAATTGCCTTTTTTACACTTCTGTTTTTAATAAATAAATAAACAAAAAAATGTATAACTAATGTATTAATCAGTGAGCTTAAGAGATGCTGGTTCCACTTGTTTCAGGTCTGTATGCTAGGCTAAACTAAGCTAAGCTTCTGGCTTTAATGCACAGATATACAGAAGAGTGGTATCAAACCTCCTCTTCTAACTCTCGGAATAAAAGCCAACACATTCCTAAAAATGTCCAAATACCTCTACTTACTTTTTGATGGCGGGAAGAAGGCGGGACTTGAGGTCTCCTTCTGGCCGCGGTAACGAGCCCAGCTCAGCCTCGTCCAGCAGGATCATCTTGTGTCTGAGCTCCCTGAACCTCTGCAGCTCGTCCTCGTCCTCCTGCTCCTCCACGCTGGACCCCGTCAGCTCCGACAGCTGGAGCTTCTCCACCAGCGGCAGCTCTGAGCGATGAAAGGACAACGGCGGCTACAAGTCTGATGCTGGGGCAGCCAACACTGGCAACGACCAGTGCTGGCTGCAGCAGCTGGTGGTTGTGGCAAGAATTACTGATAGAATACAGAGTTCTTTTCCAACTGCAGCATAGATATATATATGCCAGCATTTCACCAACAAGTTAGCTAATAATAGCAGGTAAAATCTTCCCTTCTTACTGCAGAGCAGAACATGCAGCAAGCAAGAATTTACTAAATTTATACAAATAAGGGTCTGAATGTAACTTTTACCCATGTGTAGGATAATTGGACGCTAAATATTCCATGTTATCGCAGCTGAAAGAAGGTTGATGATAATGCAGGTTTATAGTAAAAAAAACTAAACGTATACTCTGAAAGCAGATTGCCCCCCCCTGAGCCCTGTGTTGACTCATAACCTTGTGGGCAGAGACACAGATGGTTGGATTGAGAGGTCTGGCTCTGCTCCTGTGGAGGGCCGTCTCGGTCTTCTCACAGCGATCACCTCCAGACACGCTGCTCGGTGACAGAGAGCTACAGTCTAGAGCCCACAGGTTATCGATCATTTTCATCTGGCTAAACATATTAGAGGAGCTGGAACAAGGATGGGGGGGTGAGTAAAAAGTCAGCCGAGTGGCCCGCGCCGTCTCCAAGGGAACAGAAGTCACGCCAGTGAAGTGGTACCAGGGCATGGAGCTATTTTTGTGGCCAGCCGCCCTATCTTTGCAGATAAGCAGATGGCTAAAATGTGCTGGCGCACCGCACACCTCGCTGTTCAAAGTTAAGGTGCCTTTGAGTCACCTGGGGGGCTCCTCCTCGCCATGGCACTCCTCAGGTACTGGAGGATGCTCCGGTACCCCAGGTCCACAATGTGGGGCGGAGGGAAACGGATGGGGCAGTTCCTCAGGTTCAGGCCTGTGAGGGTGATCACATTCCCTGGGGGGGGGGGGGGGGAAGAAAGTAGACAAATAAAGAACAGCAGTTTTAGTGACAAAGAGAAGCAAAACACGTAAATACCCAGTTGTGTATTATTTCTATTAATGACTACTAGTCATTCATTGCATGTGATCTGACATCGCTGGCTAGTAAAGGTTACCGATCTCGACTCACCCAACTCTGGTGGAAGTTCTGAGACGGGGTTTCCTTCCAGAAGCAGCGTTTTCAGAGACCTACGTGAACGACATCACAGGTTGTTTAGAACTTGTACTAAATAGTCAGAGGGTATCTCATTTCACTACACTGTGGAATCATAAAGTTTGTAACTGAATCTGCTACTAAATAGAACTGTTGCTCCATAAGTAACCTACCTGTGCAAGCCAATGTCTGCAGGGAGGGATGTAATGTGGTTATTCCTGAGGTCCAGCCAGAGAAGGCTTGGCAAGCTGATGAACATCGAACCTGGGATACCGGATATCCGGTTGCCTTCCAGATATAAATACTGAAGATGATGCAACAAGCAGTTACAATCAATACATTAAACAGGTGTGAAATTGTTGGCCGACTGTTTTACTGGATGCATGACTGTGAACCGCTGTTAGCATATGTAGCTAGGCGGGTAGAGGTCCAAACTGACCTTTAGCGGGCTGTGTTTCAAAACACTCTCCGGAACATGGTTCAGCTGAGTTCTGCTCAGACGTAAGGCCTCTGCTGAGTAACATTTAGGGAGCTGCTGTTGCTGCTCGGCCTCCTCCGGCAGGATGCGGGGGGTCTGTGGTTTGACAACGCTGCTCCCAAAGACGAAGCTTCGTTGCAGGTCAGGAACCTCCTCCTTCTGCTCTGGGGAGGACACCGCAGAAGTGATGCCGGCGGGATGTCTGGCGTCCATTGTTCAGGTGTCTTTTTGCATTTTGCGGCCTGTCTGAAGATGAGAATCCATGTAAATATCACATGGTTTCAGTCTGTCTGCCCCCCCTCACGTGAGAGTTCAACTTGCCTTCAAACAGGTGCTATTCATTCGTTGCTGCTCCGCCTAGCGTTAGCATTAGCAAATAGTTAAAGCAACGCTACTGTACGACCGCGGTATTAGCTTACCTGGGATATGAATGAACATACTCGTAGGCTGTGGACGCGACTCGGTAAACACACAACAAATATTAAATACTGTAGGGAAACGTAACGCTAAAGTGAAGATGCCGCCTCACGACTGTGACGTCGTTACCATGGCAACGGCGTCAACACAAACAACTACAACCCTCCACGTGCTCTGTGATCAAGGCAGTCAGCCACAGCGCTGGAGGCGGGGCCCAGTTCATCCTTATGAACGTTGCTCATTGAAAAAAGTTCGACTTCTAAGTATAAAAAAGCAGATGATACGGATGGTACCCAGATCTCTTCCGCATGCATGGGCCCATCGAGCATGCGCACTGGAGTTTCCTTGAACCTCGCCGGTTTCAGGTCCTGTGCCCTGACCAATGCGCTATACTGACTAAGTGCGAAGTCAATGCCAAAACTTTATCTGGTCAATACTGACACAATAGAGCATGTTCAATTATATATGTATATACATATATATATATATATATATATATATATATATATATATATGTGTGTGTGTGTGT